TCCCAAGGAGGAGCTGGAGGAAGTGTGTGTGGAGAGGAAAGTCTGGGTCTCCCTGCCTCCATGACCTGGCCCCGGATAAGCGAAATTAAATGGATGGATGTTGTTTTTAATCTTTGCACTGGTATCGGTTGAAATTGGATATCATCAGATACGCGGCTATGGTATCGGAATTGGTATTGGAACTGAAAAAGCTGGGTCCTTAATTCTGATGTTTGCTCAAAAATTGCAGAGATTTGCATCCGTTTGACTTCCCAGTTTCAACTTGACTGCGATTAATGTTGAAGCCCCATGAAGAAGGACCTTGCTCACAGTAAGAAAGAGTAAGATAAGTAAGAGTGCATGTATATCTAAGTATTTTTTTTCTCATGTGTCTAGATCAATCCCACATCAGTCCTTCGGCGGTGTATTAAGTCAGCACAATCACGTTATAAATCAGAGGACGCTTGGCCTTGTAAAATCCGTCCGAATCACTGGAGTCGAGGAATAAGTCCGGCTAAATAGGTTTTCCATCAACATCATTACTCCAGTTACTTTTTCCAAACACTTTCAGACTCGGTTGCTCCCCTTGGCAATCCGGGCTAAATCGCACGACGCCGATGGTTGTTTGGTTGCCACGGAAACCTGGAGTCCCCTTTCCCCGTGCAGGACCTGTCAGGCTGGCCAGTATTCCCTCTTCGGAGCCGGTGACGGAGCAGTACTGGTGATGTCAGTGAATGTTTTACCAGTGGTAGACCAGAGCACGCCACAAAGTAGGGGAACCCCACTCCAGAAGAATGAAAACAGATTCATCGGAAAGACATGGCGGCAAATTGGACTTGGACAATGCTGTAGATGGAGATGCAAACCAAAATAAATGTGAAATGTCAGTTGATCTGCGCAAATATTAAACTGTTTTTGTAGATGGAATTATGTTGGATGGGCGATGCTACCCGTCAAAAGTTTGGACGCACTTTTCCATTCATGTCTCTTCGTAATTTCCGAGATTATTTATTTCTCACTGAAGCCATAAAAACTATGAATTGACACAAGTGGAATGAAGTAAACAAAAAATAAACCCAAAATGACTCAAAATCATTTCAGTAGACTTCATCGGGAAGATCAGTGAGAGAACGCCAAGTTTTCAGCGCTGTCAACAAAGCAAAGGGCGGCTACTTTGAGGATTTGAATACGAAATATGAAAAATATTTAGTTGATTTATTTAACTTTTTTTTCTTCGCAACATAATTCCATACATGTTGCATCTTATATGTATCTAAAATATAGAAAGCGGTAAAGTGTGTGCAAACTTTTGACTGGTCTCAGGTTCAAAATGGAGACAGAGGTTTCAGAACGTTTCCTAGATATCGGTATCGATCTGATATAGAAAATTTAGACAATATTTGGCACTGATTTTTTGCATCAGATTTAGATAAATGAGTAACAATGCAAACAGAAGAGCTCAAATTGATGTATGTTCACACAATCATGCATCAAACTGTTTTATATCCCAAATAAATAGTTTTTGTTCAGATTATTTCAACTCACCTGAACTTGACTAAACCTTAACATTCATTTGTGAGCCTTGCTGTATTTTATTAATATTTTTAAGTGAACAAATTGAACGAATATGGAACTTCCTTTCTGTAAGGTCTAGGCCTGTCACAATAATACCACACTGACTTATCACTCAATACTAGGGCTGGGTCTCATTAAGAAGTTGCCGATACGATACACAGGCCACAATACAATACATATCTCGATATAGTGAGCTTTCAATTCGATTCGATATATTTCAAATCAATTCGATACGGTTCAATAAAAAACAAAGGCTAAATCATGGCTGTGATACTAAAAGTCTTTGCCCAAAAAGGTTTAACAGATTTGATAAGAAACACACCCATTTTACTCCTCAAAAACAGTGAAAATGTCAAATGTGTTGCATAAAAGAGTTTCCTTTCTCTAAACAACAGGGATGTAACAATAACCGAATTATCGTGATATCGTATCGTCAAAATTCTCACAATAACATCGTGGGCCATCACAATATATCACATTACAAGTCTCTTTGCTTAAAATAAGAGTTATGGAGCAGCAATAGTTAAAAAAGACAGAGGAAACTACATAGACCATGATCCTTTGCTCCATTTTGGTGCAGACTACATGAAGAAATAACAGTTCTAAGCACTTTTAAGTCTTAGTTCTTTGGATTAAGTCTTCTCAAGGTATTTTAAGAGGAAAAACAGTTAATAGTCTGATTAGTCTCTGCAAAATATCGCAATAAATATCGTACCGTGAGATGTGTATCGTGAAAATATCGTACAGAGAGATTTGGATATTGCTACATCCCTAATCGTGAGACTCTCCCCCATATCGTGAGCTTTCCCACGATATCGAAATAAATATCGTACCGTGAGGTTCATACCGTGACGATATCGTATCGTGAGACTTGGATATCGTTACACCTACTAAACAAGCAACAAATCTGCAGCTGTAACAAAATAATGTAGTAAAATATACCAAAAAATACTCTTGTCAATATATATGATAAATGAGGCTCAATATTTATCATGGGTACTTTTTGTTTGTACTAGTGGGAACATTTTTCATTTTTCTGTAGCCTGATCAGTTCTGAGCTGTAGATGGTTGAATAAATCACTTCTATGGCTCATTAAGAGTTTCATTCACTGCAGCTCATGTTCATTGACAATACTGTATTTTGTATTTATTTACCAATACATCAAACTTCATAATGTGGTCTCGTGACAAACCCAGTAAACAGTTTTCCAGAGTGTGATGCAGATGGAGCCCGAGTAAGAGGAAAACACAGAGGAGCCATGACAGGGCCCCCGCAGTTTTACTAGAAACTGTAAACCACACAACACATGTCACACAGGCCCCACAGAGCACGGAGCCGAGGGCCAATCACAGTCTGCCCTGACGCTGTGATGTCACTGAAATAAAAACACGACTACTACAAAGTTCTGCAGATACTAGTCAGATCTACAAATGTTAGGTGGCATTGAACTTACATGTGGTTGTCTTTGGTTTTGTTTTAACTTTTTGAAATAGCATTAGAGTATTCAATTGTAGTAGTAGTAGTAGTAGTAGACGTGGTGAAGGTAGTAGTGTTACTAGTAGTATAATCAGAAGCAACAGCAATAGTAGTAGTAGTAGTAAAAGTAGTAATAGCAGTAGTAGGAGGAGGAAGAGGAGGCTAATAGTAGAAGCATCAAACTTAGATCTGATTTTTTCAATTAAGTATTCTAATATTATATGTAGAAGTAGTAGTAGTAGCAGTAGTAGTAGTAGTAGTAGTAGTATGAAACGCAAAATTATTTTAACTATTGAACAAAGTATTCTAGTACAATTTTTGGTTGTAGTAGTCATAGAAGTAGTAGTAATAGTAGTAGTACTAGTATTAGTAGGAGTAGTAGTAATAGTGGTAGTAAGAGGACGAGGCTAATGGTAGCATCAACTTTCTGATTTCTGGTCTGATATTGTATGTAGATGTAGTAGTAGGAGAAATAGTAGTAGTGTTAGTAGTAGTAGTAGTAGTAGTAGTAGTAGTAGCAGCAATAGTAGCAGCAGTAGTAGTAGTACTAGTAGTAGTAGTAGCAGTAGTAACTTTTATACATATTTTAACCATTGAACAAGTATTCTAGTATTGTTTTTGGTTGTAGTAGCCATAGAAGTAGTAGTAGTAGTAGTAGTAGTAGTAGTAGTAGTAGTAGTAGTAGTAGTAGGAGTAATAGTAGTAGTAGAAGGAAGATTTTTGATTTTAACTTTTGAACTAAGTATTCTAATATTATATTTAGAAGTAGTAGTACCGGTAGTAATAGTAGCAGTAGTAGCAGTAGTAGTAGTAGCAGTAGTAGTAGTAGCAGTAGTAGTAGTAGTAGTAGTAGTAGCAGTAGTAGTAGTAGCAGTAGTAGTAGTAGCAGTAGTAGCAGTAGTAGTAGTAGTAGTAGTAGTAGTATAGTAGTAGTAGTAGTAGTAGTAGTAGTATGAAACTTGTACTTATTTTAACTATTGAACAAAGTATTCTAGTATTATTTTTGATGGTAGTAGTAGCAGTAGCAGCAGTAGTAGAACTAGTAGAACTAGTAGAAGTAGTAGTAGTAGTAGTAGTAGTAGTAGTCTTTTCCAAGATAGTATTTTAATCATTAGAATTCATAGAGAGTACACTATGAATACTTCTTGCATCTAAAATAGTAGTTTGACAAATTCAATCAATTCCAAGGTTTTAAATGTCATTATAACATTCATAACTTTATAGATTTATAGTATTTAATGGAAATGCAGGGTAGATTAAGTCCTATTGTTGATCAGGTTCAACACTGATGAATTTTTTATGATATTTCTAGTGAAAATTCCATGTAAAATGCCGGGTAATCACTGGTACGCTTACTCACGTCCTCCATGTGACATCAGTATCGTGTAGAATTTCAAAGCCACCTACATGGCCGCACTGGCAAACAAAAGGTTTTCTCCTCTTACAGCTAAGAATTGCAAATTGCGCCATGAAAATTATACAGGCCCAATAACTTGTGGTGCAGAGTGGATTACGTAACACCCAAATGAGTGCTAAATTAAACAATTATTTCAAAATGTGAAATTGAGCCAAGCATCTATAACTTTGAAATTGGAACTAAAGTAATAATAAAAATCTTTACAACATTACTTCACTGTATTTTCTCTTTTTTTTTCCCCCCTTATTCTCCGCAAACTTACGCAAATATCTGCACAATGGTAACGCGCAGAGAGCTTTGTTATGGTTAGCCAGTAACAGATAAGCTCAGTATCGCCATGACGACCGGTAAAGTTTGCTCGGTTCACCTGGCCTCTGACAGGGATTTGGCTGAGGAGCGCGAGGCCCGGAGCCAAGAGTGAACCGAAGACGAAAGGCAGCCATGGCTTTGATTAAAGGACTGTGCGGAGAAATGAGAGAGTGATGCAGGACTAGGAATATCACCAAGCCTTTGTAGAGTCGTGTTTACTTTAAAAGAGGAGGCGGGTCTTACCAGCCAGGGGTGAGGGATCTCGGGTAGGGGCATCTGGGGTGGAGCGGGGAGGCCGTTGTGGATCTCCGACTTGAAGCAGGGCTCTGGGAGGACAGATAAAAGATAAAAGTAAAGTTACACAAGTATTTGACAAAGCAGGGTGGCATGGTCTTGCAGCAAGTCAGCCTGGTTAGATAGAAAAGTGTAACGCCAAATACCCATAACTCTCTTTACTTAAACAATAGAATGACACTTTTAACTTTAAATTGTAGTTCTTCCTTTTATTTTACCACGTGGTCTTATATCTGTGTAATCCCTCAGTGGTCCAGGTTGGTTCCAAATTATTCAGGAATGGGTCATTTCTGTCCAGTGAATGTGACTTTTTTAGTATGGAAACCTGCTCAAACTTGTATCTCATTTATGATACTACAAAGTTCAGGATTCCCACTCTTTTTTTATTGACAAAATTTCAAAACTTTTCCATGACTTTTTCATGACCTAAAGTGAATTTTCCATGACTTTACAGCACCTACATGTGTAGCACTGATCAGACTTTTAGGGCTAAATATGAAATGTTAATTCTTTCCACTCACCTTATGGTTTGATATTATAGTTTTTTAACATTCAAAGTACTGTCAGTGCATTTATTGTCGTTTCTTTTAAACAAAAGGTGCATACATTCAGAAACAATCATAATAGCCTAATGATAACTTAACAGAATGCTGTAGTTGTGTGAAAGAGATACTAAAATTCCATGACTTTTCCAAAGAATACCAGCTCCAACGTCTCCCTGGCTTGAAAGTCCCAGCTCGACCATCTCATTTTTGTATGTTTTGTTAGTATGAATGAACAAATGTGTTGAGATATATTGTACCTTGCATGTGTAATTAATACAATACATATAATGAAAAGTGTTGTTTTTTTTATTTGTATGGATATAGATTAACTAAGTTTCATAAAGGGTACAATTCAGGGGACTTTCCAGCTTGGGGGACTTGCAGCCAAGGGGACTTCCCAGCTGATTTTCTTTCTAAAACTTTCATTGACTTTTCAAAATTCCATGACTTTTCAGGATTTCCATGAACCCTGGTAGTTTTAGTATCATTTAATATCAGATTTTTGATACTTTTGACAACCAACTTGGAACACTGAGTTTAAAAAAAACAAAAAAATCCCTTAATTACATCAATACATAAATGTCATCCAACCATGTTAAGTATCGCACATCGCATCAGGTTTGTGAAGTTGTTGTGCAGTGTTTTGTGTCACATTGTTGTATATTTCTGGAGAATTGTTGTGTGGGAGCATGGCTGACGTGGGCTTCTGGACGAAGAATTGCACAAAATCTTACAGCTGGATTCAAAAAGGGCGCGGGAGAGATCACTAAAACACTAAAATGTGCATGGATGACATTTAAAACCTAGATCTGAGTCGTCTTTAAGTCACCTGTGTGATTTTCAGCCGTGTGTTTGCTGTACCTTTGTCGGCCAGGACTCTGTTGAGGATGTTGGACAGGTGAGTCTTCTTCTCCCTGATGCCGGCGCTCAGGTATTCCCGGTCCAGCAGATCCAGGAAGAGGCGCAGCTCCCCCACCAGCTCCTCCATCGCTGCAACACAAAACATTCACACATCATTAACAGATCATAAAAAATACAATTCACCACATCAAAATTCAGCTGTTTTGATAGCTGTGACTAGATTTGTAGATTAGTTGGTCTGTTTGTCATGAGTTTTAGTTTCAGAGTACGGCATTTGTTTTTTCTGTCAATCGAGTAAGAAAACTGCACTGTAATGAATAAATTAATAGACTAAGGCTGTGTAATTAATCAAATTTTGATCGATTTGTGTGTCAAACGATCTCCAAACTCATATAATCAAGTTAAAACGATTATTTTTTAAATATAGAGATTGTAGAGCAGCTGGATATATAGTTTATTTTGAATGCAATTATGATTTTCTATGCCTTATTTCATGTTCAAAGTATATTTTATTCATTTTTTTTGTTTTATACATCGCAAAACTGCTCTAAGATACATATTTGTAGCCTATATGTATTCTCAGTTTGAAAGTTTTGCGTAAAGTATCAGTAACAAAGTGTTTTTTGAGAGAGAAATGCTGAATAAATGCATCGTGTAACTCAATTATTGACCAAAATAATCGTGATAATAATCTTTTCCATAATTGAGCAGCCCTAACTCATACATAGATAAATAATAATTAAATAAAGCCAACTTCAAATAATTTTACTTGGTGGAAACTAGTTTTTAAACCAGGAACAAGTCGGAACATCAAAACATTCTGAAAATCTGGTGAAAACTACTCGACTAAAGTGGTATAAGTATGAATTTTAAAACCGCAAGAAACTAAATGTATTTCAAAAGAGCCTGATCTTTTAAAAATCTCCACAATAACATTCCAAACTGACAGTGGAGAAGTTTGGACCAGGCCGCCGCACCTGAGGAACATATCTGATAGATTTACAACAGCTCGTGAAAAAAGGTGAGAAAAACTTGTGCCAACAGAAACGGGGGAAGCCAAGTCAAACATATGTGGGTCTGTTTATCAGTGCTGACGTGCTCTTATCTTACAACACGGTGCGATATCAGGCCCCAGTGCTGCTCTAGAAACTCCAGATAACAACAACAGTATATGGAGCCAGTGGAGCGTGATGTCAACATGTGAACGCGTCCAGGTGAGGAGGAGTACGAGCTACAGTTTCTTGGGCTACGTTCAGACTGCAGGGCTTAGCGCTCAGTTCAGACTTTTTTTGTGAAATACCCCTTTTTTTGCGCGGTCGCTCACGTTTCCAGTTAAATATGACTTGTATGTGATCTCCAGTGTGAACTTTAAACGCTCCAAAAGTGTCCCGCTTGTGCGTTGGAGGACACGACGACGTCAAACGCAGCCAGAGTGCTCAGTGTTCACAGAAGTCGCCTAAACGCTGGGCTTGTCTCCCAAAATACGGTCCAGTTCTTTGTAAAATGGACAAGTTACACGTCCATGGTTGCTTCGTTTGTTCGAGTCTTTAGCCTCCTTGTATTTGGCTCGCAGGCTCTTGTTGACATTGGAGCCAGGACCGCCTGAAGTTTCGCTCAACCATTTCTTTGGCAATCATTTCAAAAACCACTCGGTTCCGATAAGACCTCACCAATTTGACCTGAATACAGCGATCCCCCCAAATATGAATTAACTCGCTAACCTCACTTTCCCTCCATTGACTAGACTCCGAGCCTGACGTGTAGGTGGGATGAATGCGACCTGACCGTTCACACTAAAGTCGCATGTCAAAAGATCGGATATGTATCAGTTTCAGGAGCACATATCCAAGTGTCCTGGGTCACATTTGGAAAAAACGGATCAGTGTCATTCAGACTGTCATTAAAAGATCAGATACAGGTCACATAGGGGCCAAAAAAATCTGATTTGGGTCACTTCAGGCTGCAGTCTGAACGTAGCCTTGGTCAGTGTTTTTATAGGCTTGGGGTAAATGCAAATAAGTTTAAAGGTGCACTGTGTTTCTGGTCTGTCAAATTCTTTTCTTAACAGAGATGTTATTGCATTGTCTGGAATGTTTCACAGTATTAAACCTTTCTATCTTCATGGAGACCAAACCAGACTAAGTTACAGGTTAGATCTGTGGAGATGCAACCTTGCTCACAGTCAGAATGTCTGTTTTTCTAGATATTTTTAAGCAGTAAAACTAAAGTAGATCTGTTTAATGTCATACTGTAAAACATAACAGGCAAAACAATGACATATAGATAGAAACAAGTAGGTGACAGACCCCCAACCAAAAAGTTATACAGTACACATTAAAATATAAAAGAGCAACAATTATGTATGTAGGCTTGTGACTACTAGTAGTTATTGTTGTCACAATACTCAATATTTCAAACTTGATTTTGATACTAAGGAACAGACTTGATACTCAATACAATGATAATTAAAAAAAAATACTTTATTTAGATAATATAATATCAAAGCACTTTCTTTCATATTACCATGTGACCTCAAACTGTATCTGTATAATCCTTCAGTGCTCCATGGGTGTGTACTGTGTCTTTGTGCTATTGTACTTGTTCTGATACAGCTCAAGCTCATTCTAAAACTATTCAGGAAAGTTATTGGTCAAATGAGTATTGCCAAAAGTCAAAGTGAACCTTATTGTCAATCACACCATGTAACAAACATTACACAGGGCGATCGAAATTTGAGTTTCCCCAAACTCTGAATGTGCAAATTAAAAACTACACCACACATGGAACATGAAATATACACAGACATTGATAATAAATAAAATAAACACAAAATATACAGGCAAACAGACAAGGGACATACAGTATATATTTCCAAAAAGAAAAGAAATTCACATGGAGCAGTGGCTTTTGAACTGTACTGATAATTTAATGCATGTTATAATTGGATAGAGATTATATATATATATATATTTTTTTTTTTACTTTTATTGCCACAAATCAAATCACATCAACATTGTCCTGAGACCGGGCCTTCTCACAATTTATATATTCACTTTTTTGCTTTTTCTCTCTCCCCATTCCCCCCTCTAGAAGAAGAAAAGAGAGAAAAAAACAAAATTTTTGCAAAAAAAAAAAAAAAAAAACATTAAAAAAAATAAAAATAAGGCATATTAGGGCATACGTGTCTTATTTCAATAAGTCAATAATTGGGCTCCATTTCTTTTCAAAAGCTGCCACCTTGAGTTGTAGTTGAGCCGTTAACAGTTCCATTGTATAAACTTGTCTGATTTTTGATCTCCACTGTTCAACGGTCGGTATTTCAGGTTTCAGCCAGTAGATCGTGATCATTTTTCTTGCAGTCAACAGAAGACGATGCAGCAGAAAGCACTGATCATGAGAGAGAGAGAACATCAGGGAATATGTCAAGCAGAAATACCTTTGGGTCCATCAACAGGTCCACAGCCAATATATTTTGTAGAACATCTTTAACATTAATCCAAAAACCTTTTATATTGGGGCAGTCCCACAATATGTGAGTCTGGTCGCCCACAAGTCCACACCTCCTCCAACATTTATCACTAACACTACATTTAGAGATTATATATTAAAAAATAATTACATCCTCCTACACCTTTACTAGAATCATTTAGATGATTTCAGCTCTGGAATCTAGGAGCTGTTAGAGTAGCTATTTTTGAATGAGTTTTGATACTAGTTTTAATATTGATTAGTATCTGATTTTGAATCCTTTGACAATCCTACTTGTGGCAATAACAAATTCTGAATGCATTTCGGCATCAAATATTGCTATACAGTTTTTTTTTTTTTTTTTTTTTTAAACAATGACTTTATTTTCTACAGCTCATTAGTTTTATACTACAGTTAAGGGACTGCTTTTCAACAAAAGTTTTCCAAAAATTCAAATCAATATTTACAAAAACTTTTCTGGAGAAGGTTCTGCCTCCACCTCGTTCTCCCCATGGAGGTGCGATTGTTGTGCTCAGGACGGGTTTCATTTTACTGTTACGTGAAACCAGCCAAGTCAAATCTGTGGAGATCTGAGTGGAAAATTTCTCACAGTAAGAATTCTTGTTATTTCCAAGTTATTATTTCTTTAAAAAACACTTGAAGACAGATAATTTACTGCCATACTCTGCACCATTCATTCATTAAAGAGCTCATATTATACTATTTTCTGATCTATATTATGTTTCTTGATCAAAAATAGACACACAAATCCTGCATATTTAGGCTCAGGTCATTTCTCAAACACAAAACACTTTGTTGTTCCACCTTGTGATGTAATGTGGTAATACAGGAAGTGCTTTACTGTGTTTTTAATCTGCTTACACCTTCGCTAGAATAATTTTAGCCCTGGAACTGCCCGTCTTTACTGAACAAAAGGTAAAAGGAGCTGTTAACTTGAAAAATAACTAATAATAAATGAAACAAAACACAGCTCCTGGTATGTTTTTGAGGAGGTAACAACATTTTAACATGGTTTAAAGCTCACAACAGTCAATTTTGTGTTGTATAGGACCTTTAAAAATAGTGACCATTTATCAAACTCTTGTGATTCTAATTCTGGTTACATAATGGTTTTGGTTACACTCATTTATAGGGATGTAACAATAACTAAATATTGTGATATCGTATCGTCAAAGTTCTCACAATAATATCGTGGACCATCACAATATATCGAATTACAAGTCTCCTTGCTTAAATTAAGAGTTATGGTGCAGGAATAGCTAAAAAAAAAAAGACAGAGGGAACTACACAGACCATGATCCTTTGCTCCATTTCAGTGTAGACTACAAGAAGAAATACCAAAAAATACATTTACCCGCAATCGTTCTTGTGTAAACAGGCCCTTAGTTCTTTGGATTAAGTCTTGTCAAGGCTCTACTGGTCAAAAGTCAAAATTCAAGTCGTGCAAGTCCAATGAAGAGCTTGAAATTATACAAATGTACAGCCAGAAAAAAAAGATTAAAGTTAATAAAGTCCAAGCTCTGCCAAAACTACCTCAGGAAAAAAGAACAAGACGGTAAAGCTTGAAAACATGAAGTGTCCAGCACAGTGTCCAGACTTAAACCCCATCGGAGCTGGTTTGGGATGAACTGGACAGAAGA